TCATTCTTTCCTACGTTAACAAGAGCAACACTGCATGGCTCCAGCTATATGCGTTCCTATGTGCTCAGACGGGATGCTTGATCACAGGGCGCCTAAGGCCATCAATACGTTGATACAAGCGGAGAAGAACCCTGACAACGCGCCTGCGCGGTTGAGCCGGATCATCAAAGAACAGGGAAGGCGTCGCATCGATGGGGCAACGATCCGTGACATGATGATTCAGAAGAAGAGCTTCCTGGTTCTGGATTGGCCCCTGAGAGCCGTCAACTCCAAGGGGAGCACGAAGACTTTCCAGATGATGGTCAACGAGCAGGGATGGACGAACATCGAGGAGAGATCGTGTTACGGGTCGAGCGAGCCAGTCTCATCGAACCCGGACACGGTGAATATCATCTCCCGATTGCAACAACTGGAAAAGCTTATCGGTGAACGACGGAAGCGCGATATGGATGCTTCACCTGTGTCGGTGCACATCTGGATGTCGCTCTACGACTTGATGTGCATGAGAGGTTGTGGGTGGCAGGTGACCACCAGGGCCCATCATTGACTCCCTGTCGAAGGCGATATCGGACCTCGTCAACGTATGCAAGGGCATGGTCGTTGTGTGCGTGAACCGCGATGTAGCTTTCCATGGTGGAAGAGGGGATCTGGGAACGATTGCCAACAAAGTGAGCGAGATCTGCAAGGCGGCAGGTGCGTTGGTGACCGAGAATGACCGCATGTGGCGCGTTGCTCATGCGCTTGCGGCCAAGAACTACAAGATCCCCGGGAGCTCGAATCTGCAATACTACCTCCTGAAGCGGTTGTTGGTGGAGTCCATTGATGCGCTTGCGCCAAGTCAAGTGTTCGTCAACGACCTGGAGGAGATTTGCATCAATGAGCCTGACCTTCAATTCAATGTCCCCAAGAACATGGAGGAATCGAAGGTAAGATTCGAGTACAAGCCGACGTTCACCGCTCAGTCAAGAAGGAAGCAGGAGCGCCAGAACGAAGGTCATAGTGGACAAGATGCATTTGGAAACGTTGATGCTAATGATCAGCGTCTTCGATGGTATACGGTCTCTGAGCTCAGCGATTTTATCTGCGAGCTATGCAGAAATGAAATGCAGAGGAACAAGTCGAAGGTGCTCGGACCCGATACGACCTTCAACCCAACTGTGTGCGTGAACTGTTGCACGAACTGGAATACAAGCACGAACGGTGTCACGAGGTCAACAAACGGGAGCGACTTTTCGCGGAGTGCAAGGTCGCGATCCCAGGCCTCCAACATCTCATGGTGGACGTCAACAATATTCAGGCCATGATCACGATTATACGGGAACTTGCGTATGCCAAATTGAAGAAGGAGCTGTCCCACGTGGGATTCGTGAGCATGACGGTGGATCAGGCGGCACAGTTTTACGGTTACGGACATGGAAAGCAATTGTGCGCAACCAGAGATGTGGTCACGTGCAGGAATTCCGAAGGGGTTGAGGAGAAGACCTCCATCTACGTGATTGACAGAGATCTTGGCAACGTGGCCTACTCGTCATGGATCAAGAGCGTGCTTGATCAGGGGACGATGTATGACCTCCTGGGACAAACTACCAATGAAGAGTCTTTGGGGGACGTCGTTGAGATGGTGTCGGGATTCTTCGAAGTGATGTCATACTTCCAACACGAACTTCCATTGTGGAGAGATGTATGGAAGATCAAGAGGGAGTTCGGGCAATCCATCGTGCGGCGCCTCGCGGCGAACGTGAGCCACACGACGGGACAAAACCGGAAGCGGAACAAGCCTTCTGCTCAGCTCGGGACACCCGCAAAAGAGGTGTTGGACATCATGAACACGATCAAGCCCAAGCATCCGTACTCCCTGGTGATCAAGCAGCAGGCCAACCAAGGATCCAAGAGGAAGGCATCACCCAACGAATCCGTCAAGACAGTTAGAGAGTCCCACGGTAAAAATTAACTTTCACGGCAATTCCCACTTCGCGGCAATTAGTGACTTCTTAATTGACTTGCAAAATAAACTTTTCACGGCAACGGCAACGGCAACGGCAAAAAAACGCGGCAACACAAACGGCAACGGCAACGGCAACGGCAACGGCAATTGTTCAGTTCAAGCACGACTTGGCCTCATTTGCTTTTGCTGGCTTGCGTCCGTTTGGCGGCTCTGAAACTGCGCGCTTCCGGGGAGTTTTGCGTTTGCTCAAGTTGTTTCGACCCTGATTTTCCCTGCCCGCCATGGCCGCGCTTCTCAACAAGCGGGCGCGCACGACAGTGCAGGAGGTCAGCGTGGATGAGATCATGCAGTGCTTTCAAGCCTTCCTCGCGGCGAAGAAAGACCGCGACCTCACTGCTCTCTTAGAACGGGCGCTGCAAGTCAGCTGGAAGTCGGCGCCATCCACAGCCCTTCCCGCCTTTGTGGAAGGCCGCTTGTGCGACACATCTCAGCCGCTCTCGGCCTTGCATTTTGTTTTTGCGTCGTGCTTTCTTTTGCTCTCTACCTTTCCCAGCCGCAGGCTACGAGCTCTTCGCCAACGTCTTGCAGCGATGCGGGCCTGTGCTCAGCAACCAGAAGACCCTGCTGGCCTTGGTCTCCTTGCACGACGACAAGCCCTGCAACTTCACCCGCCAGCCCATGCGGGCATGGGCAGACCTGGTGAGCGCCAGCGTCCGCGCCTGCCTGGCCAAGCTCCGCGAGTGCGCCTACGACCCCACCTTGCAAGAAAGGACGCTGCGGAAGGCCACAGTGCAGCAGGCGTCTGCCTTGTGGCCGCCATGGTTCGCCGCTGGGATGACAAAGGGCCAACCTCGTCGGCCTTGCCGCTCGCCCTGGCGGCGCAGGTGCTCGCGCCAGCGGCGGGCGCAGATGCCGCAACTGCCTTGGGCGACGACGGCTGGCCGGACTTCATGGCCATGCTTGGGCGGCCATCAGCTAAGCCGCGGAGCGCCAGCAAGGCTTTGCAGGCGCTCAGCATTTTCTTTTTGCTTTTCTTTGCGCATGACCTCGGCACGCATCTCTGCTCGCTCTGCGCAGGCCGCGCTGTCGGTGGAGCCTGTCACCTATGAGCAGAAGCTGCAAGGCAAGGACGCCGACGACCGCGAGCCCGCCAGCCCGGACAAGGACGCCCAGGCCAGGACACAGCCGCCGCCCCGGACATCGAGGCCGGCAAAGAAGCCAGCCGCGAAACAGCAGGCGGCCACTTCAAGTGCTCCTGGAAAGAAGCAGCTGAAGATGACGGGCAAGTGCATCGCCAGCCGGGCCTACGCCAAGGCTCTCAAAACTGGCGGCAAAGAGGCGGCACGGGCAGCGCACGCCCAAGCCCTGGAAGAGTGCAGGGCGAAGGGCATTCCTTTGCTTTAGTTCAGGCGGCCCACGCAGCAGTGCTTGATCGAACGCGGGAAAACACGCATGTTCGACATTGCTGCGTGTCCCTTTTGCTTTTTGCTTTACTCGCTGCTTGAGCGCCGCAGCTGCCATGTCCTCAGACTCGCAAGCCACGTTGCCCCTGCCTGGCGCCAGCCGCGGTGACATGGATGTTGTCGACAGCCCAGAGCTTTCCGACAGGCCGGAGCTGACAGGCAGCCAGCCCGACGGCCGCTGCGCGCACTGCGAAGATTCAGAAGCTTTGCTCGCCTTTGGTGTGGAAGTCATGGGCCGCACCACAGACGAGAAGGTTTGCGCCAGTTGCGCGGCTCGCATCTTCTGCGGCCTGAACTACGGATGCCTTCTCGCAGGAGAGCGCGCGAGGCGTTTGCCCGCGCCTGTGGCGCCGGCCGGCCCTGAGCCAGAGGAAGAGCCGCGCCCCTTGAAGCGCCTGCGGGGTAGTTCGCAGCTGGATCACTTGTGTGAAGCGTGCAGCGAATTCCAGTGCCACGCCCGTCTGCACTTGCAGTCGCGGAGCCGCAGTCTTTGCCAGTTTTGCACGGCGATCTGCCTGCTGCAGATTCATACGAAGCAGGAGGCCTTTCCGGCTGATTGCTCGCAGCCTGTAGTGTTTCTGTGATGGTATTCTGGGCCTGCGTTGGTGAGAAAGCAACGCAGATTGCATGCGCTCGCTTTGGTTGTCAGCGTGTTGCTTTTGCAGATTGCTTTTGCGGATTGCTTTTGCAGATTGCTTTTGCAGATTGCTTTTTTCTTTGTGTCGCGTTGCGGCCACGCAGTTGCATTTGCATTTGCAGGCTCCTTCGCTTTTGCGTTTGCCACGCTTGGTCGTTGCACAGTGTTGCACATGTACATGCATGAGCGCAGCCGCTTTACGGCTCGTAAGCTCCGCCGGCTTTAGGCGCGCTAGCCGTGACGCTCGCCATGGCCGCGTCCTACAGGGACCATGGCGCCTGGGTTGGCGGTCTCCCTTCGGAGATCTCCAGCTCCGAGGTCTGGTGGTGGCTGGGCGCGCGCCGCTGGCCGGAGGCAGCCGCTCCGCACCACTTCTCGGTGCGCAGGGCGACGACCGGCCCGGGCGCCTGCCTGGTGTTCTTCGACACCGCGCAGGCGCGAGACGCCGCCGTCCAGTGGCTGCGCGCGGCCGGCTATGACGCGCGTCATGTCGGGCCGTGCGCCGGTGGCAGCCCCCCCTCCTGGCGCTCCGCCGGCCGCCCCCGCCGAGCCCGGCGCACTGCCAGCCACGTGGCCTGCCGGGGACTGCCAGCGCTGCCGCTTGCTGGAGGCCGCGCTGCACCAGTCGCGGAAGCGGGTGCTGGATGTCTTCACCGACTTGGCGGAGTTCGGCGTGTTGCCCACCCCGGGCGGCGCCAGCGCAGGCCGCATGTGGGTCTGCGCTTGTCCAATTTGCTTTTGCGTTTGCACCGTCATGACCAACTTTTGCTTTTGCGTTTGCAACATCATTACCAACTTTTGCTTTTTGCGTTTGCAGCAGGCAGCAGTGCCAACTTTTGCTTTTGCGTTTGCAACATCATTACCAACTTTTGCTTTTTGCGTGTGCAGCAGCAGTACCAACTTTTGTTTTTGCTGCGTGCGTTCGCAGCTTCATTTCCCGGAAGGTGAGCTGGAGGCAGCGCGGCAGCGCCAGCGGCTCGCTCGGGCCGCAGCAGGAACCGCCGCCCCGTCAGCCTTGGCGCCAGCCACCCCGCAGCCAAGGCGCTGGCTGCGGCGCCAGCCAAGGCAGCCGAGGCGCCAGCCAAGGCGCCCGGTTGCGGCACCAGCCAAGGCAGCCGAGGCGCCAAAAGCGCCTCAGCCCCAGCCGCCCCAGCAGCACCGGCAGCCGAGGCAGCCAAGGCGCCAGCTAACAGCGCCAGCGCCGGCGCCAGCCCCAGCCCCAGCCCCAGCCCCAGCAGCCCCAGCAGCTTCGGCACCAGCTGCAGCACCAGCCCCGGCCCCGGCGCCAGCCTCGGCCACAGCGCCAGCCCCGGCCGCAGCCTCGGCGCCAGCCTCGCCGGCCAAGGCTTTTGCCGCAGAGCCGACCGCTCCGCGAAAACCGCCTCTGCTGGGGCGCGCCCAAAGAGCGTGACGCACCCGGCCGCCCGCTGGCGCGAGGCAGACCGGGAGGCCGACAGAGCCGCCGCGGAGGTCCTGGCCCGCAACCCGCAAGGGTTCGCAGAGGCAGCCGTGGCAGCTGGGGCTGTCTTCCGCTCGCTGCAGCCCGGCCCTGGCCTGCCAGCGGCCGGGTCAGGACTGCCTTCTGCGCGCTTGCGCTTGCTTTTGCGATGCAGCCCATTTGCTTGTGTGTGTGTGTGTATTTTCCGTTTTTGCGCAGGACCTGCGCGCCAGTGGTCCGAGGAGGAGTGGGCTGCCTGGCGCGCTCGCCACACCTGGGGAGGCCACGCGTGCGCCGCCTTCGCGCGCGCTGCGATCGCCCGCGCAGGCAGCGACCCGGAGATCTAGCAAGCCTCCGAGCCCGCCAGCGGCGTTTTGCTTTTGCTCAGCGGCACGTAGCTGGCAAGGGGCCAAGCCACAATTTGCTTTTGCGTTTGCAGCACGTGGATATGTCTGTTTGACCGAGGCGTGAAGGGCCGTCTACCTGCCGATCCGCCGGTGTCTCGGCTGCAAGTCTTTGCTTTTGCGTTTGCTCGTTTTTTGCTTTTGCGTTTGCAGTTGCGCGCAGCGTGCCCGCTCACATGTGCGAGGCGAGATCCACGCCGCTGAAGCCGCCAGCCGCTGGCCACAGACTTTTGTTTTTGCGCACGAAAAAGCGGCAGCTCCTGGTGCTTGCGTTTGCTTGCTGGCGCCTGTGGCCTTGCGAGAGTTTTGGGGCTTCAATCGGCCGTTGCCATTTGTTTGCTTTTGGTTTTAACTCACTCTGTAGGTCCATTTGTCTCGGAAAGCCGTCAGCCCAAAAACCCGGCACACATCCAGCGCCAAGCACTGTTTATCCTTTAAAGCGCCAGGCATGATATGCTCAACATTAACCCCCTAGCAATTAAAGACCTTGAGTCCGTAGAGGCCTTGACACTTGAGAGCAAACAAATTGTAGGGCCATCCCGTTTCTTTTGGAAGGCGTCAGCCCCAAACTCTTGCATCTGTTTTTTTCGGCAGGGGTCAGCCCCAAACTTTTGCGGCCAAACTCCTGTTGTTTTTTTGGAAGGTGTCAGCCCCAATCTGCCAGATCGTTGGGTCCATGTTTTTGGGAGGTGTCAGCCCCAAACTCTTGCTCCCAGATCTCTGGGGCCAGTGTTTTTTGGAGGCGTCAGCCCCAAACACTTGCTGCCAGATCTTTGGGTCCATTTTTTGGGGGAGGTGTCAGCCCCAAACTCTTGCTGCAGAATCTCTGGGGCCAGTTTGTTTTTGGAAGGTGTCAGCCTCAAACTCTTGCTGCCAGATCTCTGGGGCCAGCTTGTGCTTTGGAAGGTGTCAGCCCCAAACTCTTGCTGCCGGATCTCTGGGGTCAGCTTTTTTTGGAAGGTGTCAGTCCTAAACTCTTGCTGCCAGATCTCTGGGGCCAGCTTGTGCTTTGGAAGGTGTCAGCCCCAAACTCTTGCTGCCGGATCTCTGGGGTCAGCTTTTTTTTGGAAGGGCTCAGCCCCAAACTCTTGCTGCCAGATCTCTGGGGCCAGCTTGTGCGTTGGAAGGTGTCAGCCCGGGTCAGTTTTTTTTGGAAGGGTTCAGCCCCAAACTCTTGCTGCCAGATCTTTCGGTCCATTTTTTGGGGGAGGTGTCAGCGCCAAACTCTTGCAGCCCCAAGCTCCTGTTGCCAGATCTCTGGGGACAGCTTGTGCTTTGGAAGGTGTCAGCCCCAAACTCTTGCTGCCGCATCTCTGGGGTTGTTTTTTTTTGGAAGGTGTCAGCCCCAAACTCTTGCTGCCAGATCGTTGCGGCTGTTGTTGTTTTAACCTAAAAATGGGCCCCGAGGTCTGGCAGCAAGAGGTTTGGCGCTGACGCATTAAAACTTTTTTTCGGAAATGCTTCAAATGTATTGCTAATGGACACATGTGTCCGCAGTAGTTTGGCAGTAGTTTGGAAGTAACTACTGCGAAAACTACTGCGCTGGAGCTAATGCCGCAGTAGTTTGGCAGTAGTTTGGAAGTAACTACTGTGAAACTACTGCGCTGGAGATAATTTCACAGTAGTTTGGTAGTAGTTTGGTAGTAATTACTGCGAAACTACTGCACTTTGGCAAACAAAGTTTGGAGGAATTTAGCCGCACTTTGGCAGTACTGACTTCTAAACTACTGCGGCAATTCGGAAACCAGCAGTTGCAAATGCTGATGGGCCAGGAAAACAAAGAGGCCAGCAGCTGCCACGGAAGCTACTGATGACTCAAATTTGCTGCGTTTGGGGCTGACCCCTTCCAAAAAACACAGCTGACACCAATCATCCTGCAGCACTTGGGGCTGCACCTTCCAAAAAGGCAAGCTGGCCCCAGAGATCCTGCAGCAAGAGTTTGGGGCTGACACCTTCCAAAGCACAAGCTGGCCCCAGAGACCCTGCAGCAAGAGTTTGGGGCTGACACCTTCCAAAAAACAAACTGGCCCCACAGATCCTGCAGCAAGAGTTTGGGGCTGACACCTTTCAAAAAAGAGTTTTGGGGCGGACACTGTGACACCCAAAAAGCAAACTGGCCCCAGAGATCCGGCAGCAGGAGTTTGTGGCTGACACCGTCCAAAAAACAAACTGGCCCCAGAGATCCGGCAGCAAGAGTTTGGGGCTGACACCTTCCTGGCCCAGAGATCCTGCAGCAAGAGTTTGGGGCTGACACCTTCCAAAAACAAACTGGCCCCAGAGATCTGGCAGCCAGAGTTTGGGGCTGACACCTTCCAAAACAATTGGACCCAGAGCTGCGGCAACAAGAGTTCGAGGCTGACACCCTGGTAAAACAAAATCTGCCCCAAAGATCTGGCGCCAAGAAATTGGGGCTGACGCCTGCCAGTAAAAGCAGCCTGTAATAGGGGACACGTACGCGCACACAAAATCGGAAGCATATGCATACACACACATTGGTCGTTTGTTTCACAACCTAGCATAAATATGGATATTCAGCACCTATCACATCTACACAACCGTGGTCCCAACATATTCCGGCAATTATGCCCATTGACAAGCCCAAGCTGCGCCCCAATACCCATGTTCAAAGGGAATACTTGCCGCCCCCCCGCATGACGCGAGGTCGTATTTGCCGGAAGTATTTGCGCGCGTCAGCTCATAGGATGGGACTATTTTGGGGATGGCGAAGCCAGCGCTGGAACGCAGTGACAGCTTGCAGTTAAGTAGGCAAAGTAGAGCTCGAAGCGTGAGCGAGGGCAAGGCGCTCCGTTTGCTTTTGCGTATGCATTTGCGTTTCATCCCTTGCGTTTGCTGGTCATGCCCCTTGCGTTTGCTGGTCATGCATTTCCCCATGACCGCATGCCTGCGGCTATAGTTGCTCTGGAGCCTTTGGGCTTTTTACTTTTGCCACTTAGCAAGTTTTCGCGCCCCGCCATGGAGCCGGTCACCACGCCGCGCAAGCAACCGCCCAGCAGCCCTTCAGCCCCGCGCAAGTCGCCGGGTCAGTCACCAGGTCAGTCACCAAATCCGCAGAGCTCTGCGCTCTCGCCAACGGCGCTGAAGCGCCCAGCAGCTGCAAGCCCGGTGAAGAAGCGGCCCGCGGCGGCCGCGCCCAAGACGGCCGCCAAAAGCAAAGCTTCTGCCAAGCCGAAGCCCGAGCCGAAGACCGAGTCTGGCGTCAAGAAGAAGGCCAAGGCGAAGGCGAAGGGCAAGGTCAGCGTGTGGGCGCAAGCCGTGGAAGAGGACCAAGAGACAGAGCAGCCCGACGCCTTGGCAGTGGTCGACGAGCCTGCTGGCCGCGACAAAAACAAAAGCCAGTGGCTAAAGCGCAACCGGGACTCGTTGCCAGCCGACCTCAAGGCCTTGCTGGACTCTGCCAAGAGGACCGACCTCACAGAGCTGGTCAACAGGCTTGTGGTCAAAGACGCCCGTGGTCAGTTTCAGCTGGCCGCCAACGACCCTGTCGTCGCCCAGAAGCGCCGCCTCTACAAGGAAGCCAAAACCACCAACGAGGCGAAGTCTGTGCCGCGGTTCATCGCGGAACAGCAAGCCGGTGGCTCGGACAAGCTGAAAGCTGCCGTGCAGCGCGGCGAAGCTCGCTGCGTCAAGGTAGACGGCGTGGACTACTACACGTGGCGCGAGGCCTCCGTCGCCCACACCACCGGCCAGTCCGACTCCATGGACGCCACGGCTGAAGTCGCGTCCGGCTCGCAGGACTTGATGCTATGTTGCCTGCGTCTGCACAGTTCGCTTATTGCTTTTGTCTTGCGTTTGCTTTTGTTCGGGCATCCTTGCTTGTGCCGTGTCGGCCGCTAACTTTGAAGGAAGCCTTGCTGGTCGCTTTTGCGTTTGCCTTCATTGCGTTTGCTTTTGTCCCGGCGTCCCTGCCTGCACCTTGTCGGCTGCTAAGTTTGCAGGACGCCAGCGGACTCTTCGGGCTCTTGGCCGAGTCCTTGCCGATGGGGCCGCCCGAAGCTGAAGGCGGCGGCTCGGCTGACGCGCCTGCGGACCTCATGGCCAGCACTCGCCCTCGCGTGGAGGAGGGCTTGCAAGTCACCCAAAAGATCTTCGGCGAGTCCCAGAAGGCGCTGCAGGCATTGAGCGGCATGCCGCAGTCGCCCATGGTTGCCACGTGCCGGGAACAGCTGGAGGCAGCAATGCAGGCAGTGCTCCAGTGCCTGCAGTCTTTGCAAGAGCTGAACACGTTTGGCCGCATTGGCGGCGAAGCCGCTGGTCCCGAGTCCTGCAAGACCTTGCTGAGGTCCTGCGCCGCCAAGGTGCTCCACTTGCAGCAAGCTTGCCAGATGTGCAAAGCGCTCAAGCCTGTCGACTGATGTCCCCGCTTGCCGCGCGAACTGCGGCGTGACGCCCGATCATCTTGTCAAAAGGGAAGGGCGCGCAGTCATTGCTTGTGATTTTGCGCTTGCTTCTTTTGGATTGCTTTTGCATCTTTTGAAGATGCGGCGAACATGGGCAGCTGTGTGCGTGTTGGGCGCCTTGGTGCTGAGTACTGCCAAACTGCTCGCTGCAGCCATGGCCACAAGGCAAGGGTGTAGAAAGCGGCTGAGAGCCGCCCAAGCAGCCGATGGCCACGCCTGCGAAAGCAGCCTTGCGCGGCTGCTGCTTGAAAGCTGGTCCTGGGGCTTCATGTCCGCTCCGCAGCTGCAAGCCATAGCTGCGGCTGCAGAAGAAGACTTTGAGCGCGCTGGAGCCAACTGCCCCAGCGACGTCCAACGTCTCGCAGCCGGGCTATTTTAGTTTTGCAGTATCAGTTCTTTCTTCCGGGCCTTGAGTTGAAAGGTGGCCAGCCTGCGCTCGCCTCAGGCTGCCCTAGGGTTCTCCGGCAAGTACCCCGCCAACACGCACAGAGATCTCAAGCGGCGGTTGCCGCAGCCAGTGCTGGC